ATATTATTTGCTATATTCCTCCATTTTAGGTGCCCTTAATTTAAATCCCCAGGAAGCAAAGGTTGGGTGTCAGCACTGGAAGATTTTCCAACAGTGTCAATTTTTTAACAGCTGTTCCTGGAATTGCTCAGATGTTGCTTCCGGAGGCTTGTTAAGACTACTCGACAATGACTAGGTTTGGTTCTCGACCTTTAGCTGCTAAAACTTCCACTACATCATTTGAGCATTAGCAGTTCTGTGCAAAACAAGTGACTCTGCAATGTAAAGCAGGCCAACCCCCCCTTTTCCTGGATCACCTCTGTCACATCTGTATAAGTGTAACCTGGGATCCACCATTATTTTTCGTTGTCCCAAGTATCCTTTATGTGGGTCTGAGTGAAAGCCTCGAACATTGCCTTGCCTCTGCATGCCAGTCTCACGATGAAAGGTATTTTTGTTGCTTGTTGCTGCTTTAGACACTGTATATTTGCACGAAGAATATCATCGGCCTGGTGTATTGTTGTACTGGGGGGGGGGGGAAAAATTTTTTTTTCCGGCATTAGTAATCTGTATCTGTTGGTTTGGAGTGGAGGCCATCGACTGGAGTTCCACCTCCAGGAATGACTGATTTGTGTACATTTTCTGCCATTTCCTGCCAGTTTTTTTTCCTTCCTGGCACTAAAAACCCTTCCTCTGAGTGGCTGTGGCTACCCAAGGTTTCCCATAGCCGGGAATTTTGTATCTTTTTGACCCTTTAGAGTGTGCCTGGCAATTAAGTTAACACAGTCGTTCCTGTCTGAAGAGGTACAACATTTAGTGAAAAAGCTACAGAAGGATTTTGCTTTTCCTGTTTCATATGCATGGCATTTCTAGGGGGGTCCTATTGGACGTCCCGTCTGTTTTTTTCCAGATTTCCCATGCCTGCAGATACAGTGCATAGTAATGCCAGGCTTTGGTTTCCGTTTTGCTATGGTTTCTGTGACTGTATCCCTGTTGGTGCATTTTTTGGGTTTTATATTTTTTTTTTGGTTTTTAATTACCTGTCTTATTCCTATCCTCCCCTAGCACCTAACAATGGAGCATCCCACCAGTTGTTTTTGGGTAATATATCCTCACTATAGTCTAGTGGAGTCGTTCTTGTTTGCTATTTCCTGTGTATTTCTAGTTTGCAATTTGGTTTGTATATCTATCTTGACTACACTTGTTTCCCCACTACGCTCCTGACCCCTAGGAGGTCATCATATGTATTCCATCCTGCGTATAATTCCCGACACCTGGACAAAATTCCAGCTCACCATTACTGTCTCCCAGGACAGCACCTCCAGCTTTCACCATTACTGCTCCCAGGACACACCTCCAGCTTCACCAATACGTGTCTCCCAGACAAGCACCTAAAAGCTTCCCCATTACTGCTCCGCAGGACAGCACCTCCAGCTTCACCATTACTGTCTCCCAGGCATCAACTATCAGCACCCACATTCCTGACCACCAGACATCATCCTCCACCTTACAGTTTGTGGACAACATGGCCATTATCAGGCAGTACCATTCACCAGACTCTTTATGTGCCCATCTGTTGTAGAAAGCTTCCAGGTTGTCTATGGAAGAGCAGCATTGATGTGATCCCTCTTTAATACCCTTGTGATTTTAGTCCACAGATTATCCTCATTGGCATACCCAAAAACACTTCCCTGTTTTTAATACTGCCTTGTAGCTAGTTCTGGATAGCAGCACAACTGACACAATATCCACAAAAATGACAATTTATCCATGTGGAAAGCCCGGGTGGGGGGGTGGACTGCAGCACAACACAGCTTCCATAAGTACTAGGGGGAGAGAACACTACATAGTACTCAGGGGGAGACAACAATCATAGAACTAGGGGAGACATCAATCATATTACTAGGTGGAGAGAACAATCCATAGTACTAGAGGAGAAACAATCATAGACTAGGGAGACAACAATCATATACTAAGTGGAGACAACAATCATAGTACTATAGGGTAACAACAATCATAGTACGTAGGGGAGACAACAATCATAGTACTCTATAGGTGAGAAACAATCAAAGTACTCAGGGGAGACAACAATCATAGTACTTAAAAGTGGGAGACAACCATCATAGGACCTAGGTAGACAACAATCTATACTATTGGGACACACAATCATATAATAGGGGAGAAAACAATAATAGTACTAGGGGAACAACAATCATTGTACTAGGGGAGAGAACAATCATAGTACTAGGGGGAGACGAACAATCATATCCTGAAGGGGAGACAAACAATCATAGTACTAGGGAGACAACAATCAAGTACTAGGGGGAGACAACAATCATAGTACTATGGGAGGACAACATTCATAAAGTACTAGGGAGACAAACAATCATAGAACTAGGGGGAATAACAATCATAGTACTAGTGGAGACAACAATCAAGTAACTAGTGGAACAACAATCATATACTAGGGTGACAACAATCAAAGTACTAGGGGGAGACAAAAATCATAGTACTGAGTGGGAGACAACAATCATAGTACTAGGGGAGGACACAATCATAGTACAAGGGGGAGACAAACAAATCATAGTACTAGAGGAGACAACAACATAGTAACAAGGGATACAACAATCATAGTACTAGGGAGACAACAATCATAAGTACTAGGGGAGATAACAATCAAAGTACTAGGGAACACCAATCAAAGAACTAGTGGGAGACAACATTCATAGTACTAGGGTAGACAACAATCATAGTTCTAGTGGGAACAACATCATATACTAGGGGAGACAACAATCATAGTACAAAGGGAGGCAACAATCATAGTAACAGGGGAGACCAACAATCATAGAACTAGGGGAGGCAAACAATCATAGTACTAGGGGGAGAGAAGCAATCATCAGTACTAGAGGGAGCAACAATCAGAGTACTAGGGGGAGACAACAATCATAGTTCTAGGGGGAGACAACATCCATAGTACTAGGGAGAAACAATCATAGTACTAAGGGGAGAGAACAATCATAGTACTAGGGAGAGAACAATCCTAGTACTTAAGAGGGAGACAACTATCATAGTAACTAGGGAGAGAACAATCATAGTACTAGGGGAGACAACAAGCCATAGTAACAGGGAGACCAACAATCAAGTATTTCTAGGGAGACAACTCATAGTACAAGAGGCGACAACAATCATAGAACTCGGGAGACAACAATCATAGTAACTAGGGGATACCAACAATCATAGTACTATGGGAGACAACAATCTTAGTACTAGGGGAGACAACAATACATAGTAACTATGGGAGAAACAATCATAGTACTAGGTGTGATACAACATCACTAGTACTAGGGGGAGACAACAATCATATACTAGGGGAGACACAATCTTAGTACTAGGGAGACAAACATTTATAGTACTAGGGGAGACAACAATCATAGTACTAGGGGAGACTACAATTCTAGTAACTAGGGGGAGACAACAATCATGAGTACTAGGGGGAGACAACAAACATAGTACTAGGAGAGAACAATCATAGTACTAGGGAGAACAACAAACATAGTACTAGTGGGAAGAACAATCAAAATAGTAGGGGTAGAGAACAAGTCATAGTACAAGGGAAGAACAAATCAATAGTACAAGGAGAGAAACAACATTGTAGTACACACAGACAGTGCAGGCTTCAAACACCTGTATATTGTAGAACAATAAAGGTATGGAACAAACATGCTCGCTGCAACATTCAGTCATAACATGAACATTCTTGAGACAAATCAATAAGATAATGAATGTGGCGACAAATTGGGTTATATTTTTTATATATTTTAAGCTAACACACTCGTAATATAAATGACTCATATTGACCTTATTCCTGGTATCTCTCCTTTTAGTACAATAATAGATATTTTCTCCTTTATAGTGAATAATTAAGTTATTAAAAGGACTCAATGGAAATTATCACGTTCTGACTTTTTTGTGCCATCCCAGGTTTGTGTTTTCTGTGACATCCCAGGTTGTGTACAGTAAGTAAGTAAGTAAGTAAGTAAGTAAGAAAGTAAGTAAAAAGTAGAGGTTATTCAGGTAATACACAAATACAGTTACATAGAATTATCATACATACACATATGTTAACAACCTGGGATAACACAAAAAATCAGACCAGACTGACTATTTTCCATTGTGGTCCTTCATTTGTTGCTATATAATGATAATCTATGTAACTATAATGTATACCTAAATATAATGGCAGTTTTAGCATACACCAGATTGTTATACACCATTTACAAACATGTGTCAGGCTGAAAAAAATTATAGATTAGCATTAATTATTGGTAATTATTGATTACTGGTCTAAAAATAAATTAACATAAAAGTGTACCCTTGATATACTTTTTTCTCTGTAAGTTTCACTTTCATTTCTATGATATAAGGTCACTTCCCTCCTGATACGTTACTCTCTGTCACTGTTGCAGTATAGCCTTGTGGCTTAGCGCTTCTTTTTGATTATACTAA